CCCCAACATTGCACAATTTCGGTGCGGTGCCCATGCGGGTGATACAGCCCTGTATGCTCTGTGTACGATCTGTACACCTACGAGTCCTCCGCCATTGCCCGTACACGAGCGGCCAACTAATTATGGCGAACACATGCAAAACAATAACACCATCCATGCAAGCGCACGCCGTGTGGCGTGCGGAAAATTCCACACACACGGCGTGCGAGCGGACCCACATGGTGCGGTTAACCCGGAGAAAAAAAAAGGGGTCGCAGGTGTGGGCCAATGGTCACCTGCGCCCCCTTTGAAAATTCGTTGTGGGAGGGGGAAAAAAAAAAACCCCTAGTGGGAGAGTAAGACTGATGTCCCAGACACCTTTTTTTGATGCTATTTCTCATGTCCAACTGGAGAAAAAGAAAATTATTAAAAAATCCGTATGTATGTACTTGAAAGCAGGGCTGGTCCCGGATGGACCGGGGACCCCTACCCCATCCGCGGTCCTCCCGGTTGGACCGGCCGGTGGCCCAGGTCGGTTCCCTCCCGGTCGTCGCCAGCGCATTTTTGCTAGGGCCTGAATTCTTTTCTTTGGCGGCGCGTGCGTGTCCAGGAGGCCTCGTGGGGGGGGGCCCTGCCCCCGCAATAACGAAACCGGGTCCTGTAGGCCTGCGTTTTCGAAGTCGAAATATTGGCCAATCTTGGCCGCCGATCGTTGCAGATCTGTGGCAAAGATCGGCCACTGTTTTGAATCTGTTGTGGCGGGAAAGCGATCGCGCAACGGGGGAAAACGCATCACGTGTTCAAACCCGCTCACCTCCAGTCTGTGCAGCCGCTCTGTCGTCGTCTCCGACAGCCAGCCGCGCGCTCGTCACCACCGCCAACCAGCTGCACCATCACTCGGTGCAGCCGCGCCATCGTCGGTAGGTCTTTCCAGGGTGCAGCATCGCCATCGTCGCCTCCGCCAGCCAGCTGCGCCATCGCACCCCCCGCCAACGAGGCACTCCATCACGCCCCCAGGTTTGTTTCTTCTTCTTCTTCTTCTTCTTCTTCTTCGTGGTCACTCTCCTCGCCCGTTAGCCATAGCCGTCCTCCGCTTCCTCTTCTTCTTCTTCTACCTCCTCCTCCTCTTCTAGTCCTCCTCTCTTAGCCATCGGCTTGCATTCTTTTCTTCTTCTTCCTCCTCCTCCTCCTCCTCCCTGTTCTTCGTGTTTCTTTTTCTTCTTCCTCCTCCTCCTGTTCTTCTCCTCCTCCTCCGTTAGTCATACCCGTTAATTTTTTTTTTTTTTTCGTTGCTGCTTCAGCTCCCTTGGGTTCTTCTTCTTCTTCTTCCTCCTCCTCCTCTTCTTCTCTCCCCTCTTCTTCGTCATTTCCCCCTCCTCCTCTTCTTCTTCTCCTCCCTCTTCTTCATCATCTTCTTCTTCTTCTCCCTCCTCCTCCTTCTCCCTCCTCCTCTTCATCTCCTCCTCGTCCGTTAGCCATAGCCCATTTGTTACTCAGGGAGGCAACGTCAACGCCAAAGACAAGAACACCCGGTACTTGCTGCAAAACTTCAGAGGACTCGCCAGGGGCGCAGAGGGGGGCGAGGAGGCTGCGGAGCATGCATCAGATGCGAACGATCCTTCGTCTTGCCCAGTGCCTCCGCCTGTTCGAGGGCGGTCTGTTCCACAATTTGCTGCACCGATCGCAACAACAGATGACAAAGCTGCAGTGAAGGATGATGATGGCACAGGTGGAGGGGCGGCCCGTGCTGTGCTGGCGAAGACGCAGACCACAATAAGAAAGTGGATTGACAACGACGCACAAAAGAAGTTGGACATTGCGTGGGTGGAAGCAATGTTCAGGGCTGGAATTGCTTTCAACTTCTTGAACTTCGACACCACGCAGGCTCTTCACGATGCTTGGAGGTTGCCAATGCAAAGCTGAAGCTGAAGTTGCCTACCTACAAGCATATGCGGACTGTCATGTTGGACTACATCTTCCTGAAGGTCCAGAAGTCAATCAACCCCTTGACTGCTTGTTGGGACAAAACCGGCTGCACATTCATCACAGACGGATCGACAGATCGCAAGAACCGGCCGGTCATGAATTTCCTAGCAGCGGGGGAGAAAGGAGCAGTTCTGGTGACCACGGTTTACATGACTGGGAGGAAGAAAAACGCAGCAGCATTGGCGAAGTTGTGGGAGCAGGCGATGCGGGAGATCAGGCTAAAACAGATCAACACGATCTGCACAGACAACGCTGAGGTCAACAAGAAGGCGGCGTAGATCTTGGAGAGGCGGACCGACAGCGACGTTGCAAGGATACCGTGGGTGCCATGTGGAGCGCATTGCTGCAGTCTGTTGTTGAAGGACCTCAACAGTTTGCCTTGGGTGAAGGACACAGTGAAGACGGCGAACACGATTGTGAAGTTCATCAGGAACCATCACGCCACGCACGGTCTCATGATGTCCATCGATGACTCGTTGCCATTGCTGCGCCCAACAGAGGTCCGGTTCGGGTCGGTCTACCAGATGCTGCAGAGGCTGGCGGACAGGGAGGAAGTGTTGAATGAGATGGTGGACGGAGGTTGTGCAGCGAAGTGGCGGGCATTGAGATGGTCAGGGGAGAAGCTGCACAAAAAAGCCGACCTTGTCTACTACACTGTGGGGTCAAAGAGTTAGTGGGCCATAGTCAGGTAAATTGTGGCAACTATGGAGCCAGTGTACAACCTCCTGAGGAGGATGGACAGGGAAGAAGTTTCTCCCACCAACCTCGTGGAGTTCAACGATCTCATTGCGAGGAAACTAGCAAACGTCGTACTCACGAAGAAGGAGAGGGAGGATGTGATGGACAAGGTCACGGACCGCTTGCAGATGATGCGGCAGCCCGTTCATGCAGCTGCATTTTTGTTGGATCCACGGAGGAGAGACCCAGGCTGGCTCAACGATCCGGACAACGCCCTCGTGCAAAACACAATGCACTTCTTCTGCAGGCAGATCGGAGCAGAGTGGGATTCAAAGCCGCACATGGACATGTGGGATCATCTGTAAGAGTTTTTGAGAGAGCCTGTGGAAGGCGAAGTCAGGAAAGATGAACACATGTGGACACCAGTTGCCGTCAAGCAAGCAACGTGACGTATGCCTGCGAACTGGTGGAGGTACGGTGGGGATGTTCCACATTTGCAGCAGATCGCCATCAACGTGTTGGGAATGTGGAGCATGGCGACACACGCGGAGCGGAACTGGGCATCGATGGACTTTGTCCATTTGAAGCGCAGAAACAGTCTTTCGCCGGAGTCCTTGGAGAAGCTGGTTTACATTCACTGGAACATGCAGCTGCTGCGTGTTCCAAATAGCAAGGACAATGGCTACGTCGATGTGTGGGGATCCTTCTTTGAGCCGTTGATGGAGCCGGCAGCGGAAGATGGAGCTGTCGAGGACGCCACGGAGGATGAGACAGCGGACAATATCGAGGAGGATAAGAGGCAAAAGAGACCGAAAAAGACTCCAAAAGACCAGATTCCGAAGAGCCTGCTGGATAACGACTCAAGTGGAGCAGCGATCTTGAGGATCTCGTGTGGAAGGGGAAGTGTTGTATTTAGTCCACTTCCAAGGAGAGTGATGGTGAGGATGACATTGGGGAGGACTCAGATTTTGAGTTGGGGGGCAAGCTGAGGTGCCAGCCACTACGTACGTCGGTCGGAGGCTTAGGAGGTGAGAGAAGGAGGCAAACGTGCTGCTTTCCGAGGCCATCGACAGACTGGACACTGATATCGAGTTCTTGGCACACCCTACGCCTGATGCAAACGAGGAGGAAGCAGCTCGGGCCAAGGCTATGGCAGATAGGGATGCCGCTTTGGTTCAAAGGCGGATGTGTGAGGAGGAGGCTTGCCGTGCTGCTGTCCCCACCCGGAGGGAGAGAGAGAGACAGAGCAAACAGGTCAGCCAACATGAGGAGCAGCATAGTGATGAAAAGGATGAAAGGGTGGACAACATGGAGGTAGATGAGGCTGCCGTGCGTGCAGAACATGAAGGGAGTTTGCAGCATGCGGGAGTAGATATTGAAGCACTTGGAGAAAAAAATGTGCAGGAAGTCGCAGGAGGGGGGTGATATGGAGGATGCGGAAAAAACTCAGCAGCAAGACGGAGAGGAACTGCAGCAACCAGCACCACCAACGGTTTACGCACGAAGACCCCGCACACCGACACTGCTGCAGCCTGCACTGCAAGAGCCGCGGGAGGACCAGCAAGCTGTGGTTGCGGAGCAGCCAGAAAAACTTGGATCAACGGTGAGAGGAGCAGCGGTCCACTCCGGCAGGACCCCGTACCCAGCACAGAACGAGGATGCCCAACACGACAACATCTGGAAAAGCAGGGCGGGGCGAAAGAGGAAGGCTCCAGTGAATGAAGTCCCCACACCACGTCCCCGCCGCGGGAGGCCCCGCAAGGAGAAGACGGGGCACAAAGCTGCACCAAAGTCGGAACGTGGTCGTAGCAGGCCCCGCAAAGTGCAAGTCTCCGAGAAGGACCCCGACTCAGATGGCGGCGGTGCAGAGTCGCCCGGCGACGAGATTAGCGAAGGGGATTCCAAATGTGTGTGTGTGTGTGTGCGCGCGTGTGTGTGTGTGTGTGTGTGTGTGTGTGTGTGTGTGTGCGCGCGCGCGTGTGTGTGTGTGTGTGTGTGTGTGTGTG